GGACAGCCAAAGGACACATGAAAATATGGGACATTTGGAAATGTTCTTACTGTGGGACACGATGCCACCAGAATGAATGAAATCTTGCTTGTGTCATTTTCTGACCTGACTGCAAATTAGACATTCCCATCATATGTTCTTTCAATGTAAGAGCTAGTCTGTAAAAGCAAAGGCTTTGCCTCATGCCTGAAATTTGCCTAAGCTTAGTGTATTGTTCCCAATTTCTATCATAGACTAAGTCAAGACTGCCTAGATACTCTAAAAAGGATGTTTTTTCTTTAAAGTAGAGCATCTCAGAAATGGTTTGAATGAATATAGGTTTCTACTTTCCCTGTGTCTTTGATCGAGCCTTTGTGCTTATGCAGAGATTTGATTCTCCCTTCTTTTATTGATCTCTTAAACATTTCAGCATTAAAATAAATCTATTTATTATTGGAATCCAGATAGCTACTTAATGTTTTACAGTTTAAGAATTCTTGAGTAACAGCAACAGTAACAACAACCACTAGTCTGACAATTCATTGAATTGGAAGCAAAGATTTGATTCAATTATACTGCAGTATTAGGATTGTTCTCATCTACTAAGTCATCAGCAAAAACTTCATGGGATACCATCAACTCAGAAATTACAGTCAAGTAGCATTTGTTTTCAGAAGAAAATATTGAGATTCAGGTCATTGAAAAAGTCATAATACAGAACTAGGAAACATAAGCAAAAATGGCAACTAGAGCAACATTCTTTATTAGCTTACCCAGTAGAACTATTTTAAGACTGCTTAAAATATTTTTATCAGATGTTTTAAAACTAAACAAGTGGGTATAGTTTTCACTCCAAATACTTATATTTTTGTCTGAATTGAAGTGAAAGAAGCATGAGTTCCAAAACACAGAAGGTAAGAAAATCACGGTGACAAATTCATGTAATTACACAAATTATCTATACAAGACTTTGAAGTCCACATTCTCCAAATTAAGCAAAGAAATGAAGCCATCACCACATCCTCTGTATTTAAACCAATGTTTTTAAGATTAATTAAAATTTTTCTTTCAGTTTTCACAGAGAAAGTGAACCTTAGGAAGAAATCTGAAGGAAAAATAATAATAAATCTTAAGGATTGTCTCGCAGGAGACATTTCATGCATAAGTAACAGGAAAAGAAAGTGGAAATGTTTGCAAGAGTTATAAACACTTCCACTGACATTTCAACTGACCTTGCTGCGAAGTTGGAGGGGAAGAGATTTATGAAAAGCTGATAGGAAAAATTTTGTGAAGAGATATAAGATGCTTGGATGTAAAACAAAACTCAGACTTTTTTGGTGCAAGTTAATGATATAAATCAATCATTCAGGGAGGATAGCATTACTTTCATACCCACACAATTACCTACCTTATAAAAGTTGAAAATATTTGCATAGAAACACATTCTGACAAAGAATTCCTAATTGAATAAATTAAAGAATTAACATCTGTGAATAACAGATCTCTTCTACCATCTATTCCTTCTGAATGCAGAAGCAAATTTTTGAAAGGTAGAGTTAAACAAAATTTCTTTTGCAAAGTTCACTTAGTTCTATTAAATTGTATTCCTATTTCAGTAGTAAAAAGTGATGTCACTAAGAGATAATAGTTCAGTGGCAAAGACCAGAACAACATAATCACCATGACAATAAATGTGTTGATATGATAATGCAATAATAGAGAAAGGGAACTTGTACCTCTGAAAACAGTACAGCTCCTACGTAATTTGTTCTGTGTTTTGTTAGGGCTCTTTAGTGTTGAAAGACCACCCTCCTGCTGTAGCTGCACTCCGTCCCTAGACCTGGTGTATGCATGGTAGCCCCCCTGAGTGACGTGTGACTTCAAAAACAGTGCTTGAGCCCACATTTTTACAAAGTTGATTTGTCTTAAGTGTTGCAAAGCAAAATTCCATTGCACTCTTTATTTTGATGATTCTTGCAAGATTTTACTGTTCCAAATACTGAGAACAACTTATCACAGTGTGATAGTATTTGGAAGGTGTGGTTGAAAGATGAAGTAAAATTGTAGTACAGGGGGATAAATCATGTGACAACAAAGAGCTAAAGTTGTAACTTTTGGAGAATGTAGCAGACCAAATATGTACAGATTAGGGAAAAGATTAAAAATCTCTTGCAAGTTAGGATTCATTACGTCAAAGTAGATCTTATGTTTCTAGTGTGTCTAGGCAGGTGAATCTTAAAATTCTTTGCTACCTCAAACAGGACACTGGTGGGAGAATGTGAAAGTGTTAAATACTGTACTCGCTTTCCATGTGTGTTGCAGCTAATGAAGTCTGAATAAATTAATTGAAAACTAAAACAGTATGAAGTCTATTTGATTAAAGTTTAGGAAGATTTTTTCAACAACAACCCTGCATTAAAAGTTTATCTTCCTCATGAAAAAGACAGTCTTTCTTCTAAAAGTGTCTGAGCATAACAGAACAGATGACACCACTGCAGCCTGCACAATATCTCATATGTAGAAAAACATGGATAGAATTTCCTCTGAAGTTTTAACTCTAACATCCAGCTACTTCTCATCTTTAATGAGTGAAGATGTCAGTAATGGAAAGAAAGAAAGGAACCTGCTTTTTAAATCTGGATTGGTAGAAGAATTTTGAGGACTAGTGCATTCAAACATTTGAATTTCACTTCAGTAATCCAATTAGGAAGCCACAATCTGCACTATATCTAGGTCCTAATAAGAAACATTCTTGATATAGCCTGTTATAGATGGATATTTCTTTCAGATCCGTGAACATTTAAGTCCAGAGAGCTCTGCTATCCCAGTAATGTCCTGACTTCCATCTTTTGTAAACAGAGGCTCTCATTGGTAACTTTAAGAATATGTTTTGCAAGCTTCTACCTGTTGGCATGATTTCATTTGTGTTAGCTTTAAAGGCAAATATTCTTATTTGCTATCTTGCCCACATATGAACGCTAGGTGACAATGACCTTATTTCCTGCTAAGAGAGGCAAACAGATTAATGTGCCATTAGCAGCTGAGAACTTTTTCCCTAGCAGCTCTATGTTTGCACAGGACATAAGTGAAACCAAAAGTACTTCGGAGAGTGTGGGCCTGGAAGATTTACTTCTAGTGTTTACCATGGTCCTGTGATTACTGCCATCAGAAAGGGTTTCAAACTATTTAATCTACTGACATGGATCCCTGCAGGGTATTTTTTCAATTTTTTTTGAATTTTTATTTTTATTTTTTATGGCAGCAACACAGGGCCTGATGACAAATCATGGTATGCAGGGGCTAAAGTGTATGGAGAATGTGCACGGAAAGATAAGAGATCATTTAATTAGTACTACAAGGGCTGTTTCTTCATAGCACAGTTCAAAGGATCTTTAGCCAAAAGGGTCTAAATTCTTACACCTCTATTTTTAAGAAACATTTTTTGTTAAATATGTCTGAAAAAAGCAAATGTATTTTAAAAGGTAACATTCATCTGTCTTACCTAGAAGTGGATAAAGTTGCTTGAAATTGAATTAAATGGGAAAGCTGAAAAAATTTAAACGAATATATTTTCTTTTGTACTAAGACAAGAATCTCAAAAGTATAGCAAAGCTGCAACAAATTATTTCAGTACTACTTATCTGGCTAACGCAAGAAAAAAATGAAACCATCCTGTGTTATTTTCTCACACCTTGATATGCCTGTTAGCAGCAGTTATATTTGCATCTTTCACTGAAACCCTATCAGACAAAGCAAGGTGTATTTTCTCTGGGGACTATCTTCATTCCATCACGCACAAGGCCTTCACAGCACAACCTTGCAGCAAGCTGCTGACCTATCTGCTGCTGCTCTTTTTGACTGCAGGAGTAGTGAAAGTCTGGAAAGACAGTACAAGTGCTACAGCATTATATTTGGAACATTATAAATAAGCAAAAGGAAATGAGTACGATTTCTATGAGTACGATTGCCAGAAGGCCCTCAGTTCATATTATGACTTTGGATTCAGAGTGGCTATCTTAGCAGAAAATTGTGGTCAGCATTTGAGGTGGCACAAAGGAAAGAAGGGATATATTTCAACACATACAACTGGGCATGTGTGAAGAAATTTCATGATAGACCTAACTGAAGTCACTTAATAGCTCAGATAAGGAAGATACCTTCGGGACAGCTGCACAAAACTACTGCACTTCGAATGAAAATAAAGTTGATTATAATTTATGCAATTGAGAGAAGAAGAGAATAGCAAACTGCCTTGGAGATTTCCTGTTTGCTAAAGGCATTCTTAAAATATACTTAGATTCAATATCAGCCTGCAGATGGATTAAGGTAGGACATTTGGAAATAAAACCTAACATGTTTTCAGGTGGACAAGACACAACCATTATTCTCTGCTTTATTCATACCCATACTCCATCAATGTTACTCCAGATATTTACTGGTGTCAGCTGACCTAAGAACTAAGCCTCCATGTTCAGCAAAAAAGGAACAGAAAGAGATACATTGAGGAAGACACCAAGCAGATGAAATTTGGTAATCAGAATTTTTTTCAGCTGGATCAGTAATAATTCAGCCCTTGATTTGAGCCTGGCCCATTGCAGAGCTCTTAATGTCACAGCAGTGCTGTAGGTAGCTTCCAAGTGATGCAGACAGAAATTTGCTAACTCTTCTATGCTTCACAGACAAATTACTCAACACAAATGAAATCTATTCTTCTGAGAATTTACAGTCGCCCATTTGCTTGAAATGTGTGCCCATATTTGTTTGCTATGGTATCAGAAACAACTTTCCAAATGCTGGTAATGGAGACCTGTTACCTCAGTATTTTTTTTTTTTTTGTATTCAAAAATTTATTCAGAGAAAAGGTACTTCCTAAGAAACTGTACCTCATTCAGTTAGTATGAAATCTAATGAAAACAATCTTTTTACAAGACAGATCCTCTGCTACTAGTGTGTATTTGGTTAACATTTTCTTTAATTACTAGCAGAAGATGACTAATACTTCAGCAATATGCCAAATACATATTTTCCTGGTTTATCAAGATAAAGGGATTAGAGAGCACAGCTTTCCATATTGAGTTTACTCAGCTGTCCTAATGTGCTAGCGCTAGTTACAAAGATAATTGTGTATAGTTTTTAGGTTAGTAAACATTTTTTTCCTTCTTACTTTTTCATACCAACACAGTCTGTGTCTATGTAACCTTGCTGCTTCCTCAAGAAACTGACATATTACAGGAACAGTGGATGGTGCTGCGTCCTACAGTTGTCCTGATCTATGTGTGAAGTCCAGAGGCTGACACCAGTCAGAAGACACTTGCCTTGCAGAGTAGGCACAAAGCTACAAGCACTGTGGCTGCTGCATGGTCCAGTACCTAGACAAGCTCATCTACAGACTTACAGTCTCTTGGAAGATCTGCAACAGCTCTTTATAGTACTGCTGTACTTCTCTCATCAAGGTGAGGAGTAAGCCTCAACTACACCCATAACATATTTGTAGGACTTTTATCTTGGTTTAGATCTACAGACTTCAGCTCAAAGATAGTGATCTAGGTTATATTTTCTGCCTGACTCTACAGATGTGCAGTGCAAGTCTACAAAAATCAAAGGCCTTTTTCTCTTGAAATTATTTTATCATTTGTTGAAAACTTTTTTCCCAGTGAAGTTTTTTCAAGTGATTTTTTTCCTCAAAACATTTTCTAAACTGTTATAGTTCATTAAAACCATAATATTCTAATATTCTATCTAGAAACAGTTTCAATTAATAATTCTCAGCCATTTCACGCATACTCGGACTCACAAAAACACATATATGCTCAGATGTCCTTAAAGGAGAGCACTATTTATACCATCATATTAATACTCTACAATACTAACGTACTTGTCCTTGTCCTAAATAAAATTAATGCTAGAATAGCTTTCTACTGCCAGAGCACTTTCAGATGGCCTTAATTAAAAAAACTTGAGTCTGCATGAATATCTATCCATAATGATGTCTCCATTTTATTCCTAATTATAAGCTCATTAATATCAAAGACAATTGTAAGAAACCCAGATGAGACTATATCATTTGGGATTTTAAAATTGAAGGCACTTGCCCTGCCAACTCAAAATCACTTATTCAAAAACTTCTGTAGGTGTTGTGTGAAATAATTATACTACAGCAAGAATTGATGTGCTGCTTTATGTAGGCTGCATGTGATTTTTCATCCTTTCTGTTAGTTTATAGCACTGAAAAGTAACTTAAGCCACAGAGTAACCAGAAACATCAAAGAAGAGAGGAACTGGAAGAGATCTGAATTAATTCATTCTCAAAAGCACTGCACATTTTCAGCATTATTAGTGCATGGGTGTTGGAAGGGGTTTGCAAAAGGATGAGCAGAAAGGATAGTATTGGAGCTGTGAGATCTTCCAGCATCTCCTCCAGAAGAGATTTTGCACATCTGTGTAATTTTTGAACAGATACTATATAAACGCAAAATCTCAGTAGTGGCTAAGAAAAAACAAGAGAGCCATTTATTTATCTTGAATGCTGAGGTATGAATAATATGAATATTATCATTTGAATCTGGAAGTGAAAGGATATCCACAAAGGAATGGGTGCTAATGATGTCCCTTTGTTCTGAAATGTATAATATGACTTTCTCTAAGTTCCTTGCCAGCTGGTTATAATTCACTTAATTAAAAAAATTCACAGCAGTTTTAAGCTTTATTACTTATCACAATGACAAATATTGGTAAAATTATTTAGAATCTAGGAATAATCATAAAATCAGTGTTTATTTGAATGTATAGGTACAACGGTGATATCAATTAGATGGAAACTGAGATTTTCTTTTCAAGCTGCTCCTGAACAAGGGCTATGGTCATCATGATGATCATTTTTTCAGTCATGGAGTCATAAAATCTCTCAAGTTGAATGAAACCCATAATGATCATTGAGTTCAACTCCTCATTTGTCACAGAACAACCTAAATGTAAATCACAAGAGTAAGAGCATCGTACTTCATAATTCTGGAACTCTGATAGGCCTGGTGCTATGTGCACTTCCCTGGGGAGCCTGTTCCACCTTCTCAGTGAAGAATTTTTTCCTAATCTCCAATCTGAACTTTCCCTAATGGAGCTTCATTCCATTTTCTTGTGTCTTATCACTGATCATCAAAGGGAGGAGATGAGCACCTTCCCCTCTGCTGCCTCCCATGAGGAAGGTTTACACTACGATGGGGTCACTCAGTCTTCTCCTCCCCAGGCTGAACAAGGCAGGTGACCTCAGTCATTCCTCCAAAATTTTAGGCCTCAAGATTTTTCACCATCTTGAACACCCTTCTCTGGACACACTCTAATGATTTGCTGTCCTCCTTACACTGCAGCACCCAGAACTGCCCCCAGCACTGGAGGTGGGGCTGCCCCAGAGCAGAGCAGAGCAGGACAATCCCCTCCCTTGCCTGGCTGTGATGCTGTGCCTGATGCACCCAGCACACGGGTGGCCATCCTGGCTGCCAGGGCACTGCTGATTCATGTCCAACTTGTAATCAACCCAGACACACAGATCTCTTTCTGCAGAGCTGAAATCTCTTCTCCTCCAGTTTGAATGTACAATCAGGATTACTCTGTCCCAGGTGGAGATTCTGGCACTTGCTCTTGAATTTCACATGGTTGGTGATGGGCCAGATCTCTAGTCTATCCAGATTTCTCTGTAATGCCTCTCTACCTTTGGAGGAGTCAGCTTTCTACCATTCGCAAACTCACTTAAGATACACTTGATTCCTTTATCCAGCGACTTTATGAAAACATTAAAGAGCACTGGCCCTAAAGTTGAGCACAGGGAAATCCCACATGTGTAGCCACTATAACTGGTTAAACCCAACCCATCATCCAGTTTCTTATCCAAAATGTTATGGACTTGTTTAGCATCGTGATGGACATTTTGTCCACAATGACGCTGTGTGACACAGTGTAAAATTTTGCTAAAATTCAAAAATCCCGTATAAACTACTACTTTATCCATGACCACTAAGATGCAGCTCTGTAAATCTAGCAAGGAGATTAAAAATGAAAACCTTCTTTTTCCTATGGGATATTAATTTAAATTACTTCATCTTCAGAAATAATTAACTTCAAAATCACCTACAGGCCAAAGTCACACATGTAGTATGCAATGATCATCTTCAACTGGGAGGTCTTGGTAGCAAAAATACATTTAGTTATCTAAAAGTGTCTTTGAGTAGTTTTAGATACTTTGTGAGCTCCTATTTAATAGATCAAAATTGAACTCCACACAATTCCGAAAGAAGATTTTATCCTTGAAATGACACACTGAGATGGATATTTCTACTGCTCAACAGACTGAAATCCATTGATCAGTAGTGTAGAAAAATTTTGTTTCGTGCTGCCATAAATCTCACTGGAATTAACAACAGCTAACCTTCCATATGGTATGAAATTGCCAGATGTGCAACTATTTTAGATTCAGGAGCTGTTAAGTGGGATGAGTAACACAGAAAGACAATAAAACCTGCAACACCAACAGTCTTCACTCCTGTAAGTCTATCAGAAATGGTTATCTGTCCTAGCATTTTTTTGAATACACCACACTATTATTCATGACCTCTAACTGTACAAATGTTGTAAGGAGGAGCCATAAGCCTCAATGGAATGTTTTGACTGGCCAAACTGAGTCCTCAAAAAACTCTTAAGATCCATGAATTTTTATTAATGTGCAGGGCCTCACATAAAGTAATTTAAGATATACTCAAGTCATTTAAGATATTCTCAGTCTTGCATCTCAGCCCAAGCTGGCTTTCATGTTTCAGAATACAGAAGAATGATATTTAAAAAGGAACAACTGGGCTGCACTGATCTTGTTTTTTTGGGCACCATATTTTAATTCAACATCTTTTATATAATTCAAAGCCTAGAAAATCCTCTGTAAAGCAACAATCTTTGTTCTTGTGTATGACACAAATACAAAACCAGCTCCCTCTCTTCCCCAAGCTATTTTTTTCCGAAAGCTTTCTATGCTTTTCCATTTGATTTCCTCGTTCCACATCCAACTGGTTCAAAAACATTGTAATAATATGGCTCAGAAATTCCACCAGTTTTTTAAATGAAACTAGGAGAAGAAAATAATGCAGCAGTGACCAGTCCTCTGTCTTTTACTGAAGCAGCTGCTGTTGGGTATAAGATTCACAGAGGTTAAAATGAATATCTTTTCAGGGGTGTTTTTTGGAAAGGGAAAAGAGCAATGACTATAGGTTTCCTTACTCCATATAATTATAAATACACAGAACTGAGTCATAGATTTAAAGAAAATATCTCACCCTAGCAGATGATACAAAGTGGTGAAAAGTGTTCAGTGTTTCCAAAATATTGTCTTTTCAGGCTGAGCAAAAATAAAAATTATTTGCTGTTTTCTTCCTTTCCTGAGGTTATCATAACTTCATGATTATAAGTAGTTATATACCATAATTGGATGAGATAACAGACTAGAATAAAACAACAATCACCCAAAATTCCATTTTCCGCTTTCTTCAAAACACAAACTGTGGCTTCAGTTATTAAAGGAGCACTTCATTAGTGAATATTAAAAGAATGACCAATTCAGAAGCATCATTATAAATTCTAGGTAGCCTCTTCCCCATGTAAAACTGTCTGAGCTTAGCTCAACAGCTTTATACCCTTCTTTTCTGTTACTTTAGGCCTTTATGCCATGACAGAAGGACTGAATATTTCAGCTTAATACTGAGGACAGAACCAATTTGCTGCGAGGACATCCCCCACATCTTATTTGCACCTGTGATCAGGTTTGTTATTTCATGCACCTCTTTATTTTTTTTTTCTTAGGATTTAAGTATCCGACCTAACACTGATCATATCATCATGATTTTACTTTGATTGCTGTCATTGCTGAACCCAGGCTTGTCAAATCAAACTTTCACAGATTATATAAGTAAATGTCCATTTTACTTTAGGGTGTCAGGGTGTATCTCTAGTATCTTGTTTTATTTGAAAAAGAGCCTGGCCAAAGAGCTAGTCAAAGTCTGATATCTCAAAAGCCAGAGAAATATCTTTAACAGAACAGAGAGAATCATCCTTGTCTTTGGTGCAAATGTGCATTCATGTCTCTCCTGCCTCAGGGCGAGCTAAGTGTGAGCAAGTTTGTGTTGAAATGCATGAAGGTCTGTATGACTTCAGCACTGCAAAATGTGAAACTGCCTCGTACTCACAACCCTTGAGACTCCTGTGCCTCTTGCAGGTGGACAGCTAAAGCCTGGACTAATTGTGGATATGGGAACCACATCTGTTGTGCTGAATGGCCATGTTGTCAGATGTCACTACCACTGCTGAATAGAGGCACAGCTTCCTGAAATAACATTGTGGTTTTTGAAGACAGCTGAGGCCTTGCAGACTAGTTTCACTTCCAACTAAATCTTCTGCTAGGTAAGAAGATGAAAAGGAGCTTGTTCCACTGAAGTAAATGCAGCTTGCTAGTGGTACTGCTGGAAGCTGCAATGCTGTGAATCAAACTTCAATTCATTTCCTCAATCAAGGAGTTTTGCCAGTGTCTGTTACTTGAGAACAAAATGTATGATCAGATTCATACTAAATAGTAACAATTCTTTGTTCACTGTCAGGATTTCCCTAGGTTTATGAGTTTTCCATCAGCTTTGATGCATCTGGTATAGTTTCTTGCACCCAGACAGGACTTCCTCAGATAGTTTTAGGTACAAAACCAGTTTTTTTTTTTAATTATCAACATTGGATATCTTAGATTAGAACCCTGGATTTTCCTTCCTTCTTTACTATGTAAACAGAGTGCAAGTAAAAAGCCCTTTTCACTTGCACTCAGGTTCCTGTACTCTCAAAGGCAGCAATATCACACAGTACACATAAGGCACACGAAGATTTAATGTGACAGGATGACTCATATACATGAAGTCAGTCAGGTAAAGGATAATTGTTTGCTCAATAGATTATGTTACTTTTTCAATTTCTGTCACTCTAGCATTCCTAGACGTGCATGGGGTTTTTATTTTTTACTCCATCATAGAAAATCTTTACTTTTAATAGGGTCATTTAAACATAATCATTTGTGCTAGAAGAAAAAAAAAATTAGAAAATGTTATCCCATCTTCAATCAGTCAGTATCATACAAAGCATACACTTCGGAAGTAGAAACAGAAAAATACAGGGCACTTTTTAAAGTGCATAGATGCACTATAGTGCAATGATAATGACAATTTTGACAAATTTTGAGCCTCCAGGTTTTTGCCTCAGCTTCTGGAATCTAGTCCGAGAAACCAAGCCCCCCATTATAGACATAAGTTCAAAATGTCGTGTTTAGGAACTGTGAGCTCTAAAATACAGAAACAAAGACAAACCAAAAAAAGCATAAATGATAAAAGGAAAAAACCAGAAATATTATTTTTATAGAATTTTGAGACTAAATCATGTTAGATTTGTGATTTACACTCTGATTACTGAGGTTTGAATATCTGCCGTTGCTTATCCAGTGGCAGCTCGAGACATGTTGGTAACTGGTAATGGGATATGGTGGAGAATAAATAGCAGAGAATTGTTGTGCTGTCTGTACATGTATAAAAATAAAAGCTTTTTCTGCAGAAGACTGATAGATGAGAATGACACAGATTAAGTCTCAGCGTTGTAATTCAGAACTTTTCTGCCCAAATTCCATTTTCAGTGTTTGGGGCCTCTGACAATCACCTGGGAAAGGAAAGCTGCATATTTTAATTTTTGTCCAATACCTGACAGAGAAGAACACAGAGTTAATAAAGGGCCTTATTAAATGGTTGTTTTGAGTCAATGATTCAGAGAGCCTCATTCTGCATTCTGCTTGAAGGTCTTCATGAACTGAAAAAAACTTAAGAAAAGTATTGTATAAAAGAAAGAATTGGTAGGCAGTTAGCCACTCTGTGGGGATCTTTAATTAAATAAAATGAAATAAAAATAAATACAATACTCTTATGGAGAGAGGATAAATTAACTCCGGGCTACACAGAATAGATAGCGTTACAAATAATACTAAAAGAATCTATATGAGCTGCAAAACCTTTGACCAGTGTAGCTGAGCACCAGACATGCGTGGTGCTGGATGGCTAGGCAATTCCTGTGTGAATTAGGACATTTCGTAATAACTTCCATATAAAATAATGAACTGGGACTTTGAGTAATGATGCAGAAAAATGATGCCAAATCTTTTGCCAGTTGGTGTTGTTTGAATTTTCAGAACTAAAGTGCCATGTTTATTTCATTTACAAAAAAAATTTAAGCCACATATTTAATCAAATAGTGCTCTTGCCTGCTACTGTGAGAACAGATTTTTGCAGAATCACAGAGTCATTTGGAAGGAAGCTGACCCATTTTCATATGGATTATTTTAGTGCATATATATTTATAACTTTTGAGTAAGTCACTGATAATTTGGAAATTAAAATGACTAATTTGTTAAAGATTATTTCAATTCATGTTTAAGGAAAGGCAGATTACGTATGTACAATTAGAGATTATCATGCTTAAGTGACTTTAAAGTCCAGTCTTCTACCCAAATGCAAAAAAGGCTTTGGAGAGTCTACAGATAAAGGTTCATTATCAATCAATGTTCAGTTTTGTGTCTGAAAAGGTAACAAGCTGAGATTTTACAACAGACTATTTGTCGATTCTCACAATTCACTACCTCTGAAATGCAGAATAAAAACCATGAAATCTACAAAATTCTGGGACTCCCTCTATTTCAAAGATGTCCCGTCTGAAATCAGCCAGAGTGGGAAGGTCGCTTTTATCCTTAATGAAATTAAAATTTTAGACAACCACTATGACATCTGAGACAGAACCATGAGAACATCATATAAAAAATGAGCACTGGCAACAGATGTTTCTTCTGTGAAGCTTTGACTCAAATTCTTGTATTAGAACTTATCATTAATGGAGAAAATGCATTATATCTATCAAGACAGCAGTGAACATAGTAGGTCCTTCCATACCAGCATCTGTACTTTCTCTTCAATATGTATGCATTTTATATATGCATCACTTGGCTGCCAGTTTTGTTCACAATCAGGAGACTTAATGCCTGACTCAGTTAAGATAGTTGATCAATATTTGCTTTGCTGTTTTTGTGAAAAGGAATTATGCTGGTAAATTTTCATTATTGCCGTTGATTGGTATATATTTACTGTCAGCAAAAGTGGGTGGTTCTTTCTTTAACAATGTAGTATCTGACTTTGCCTGAACTGACTGACACATGGATAAGTTTTCTTTTAAGAAATATTAATTCTAGCTAATTTGGCTTATTTTCTGCATGGTCACAACATCCAAATACTGATACTGAGTCTGGAAAAATCTCACAAACAGGCATATATGAGATGAAGTTAGCATCAGGCAGATGTTTAGAGAGTGGAACTTGGAGTTTGATCAACACTTTACTGATTTCTGAGCTATCAGCTGCACAGAATAGGATTTCAGTAGTTGCAGAGTGTTCCTATCTGCTTAGCACATAAATAAGCGTACTGTCAGGACTCAGTGACCTGAAATTCTCACTGTAAGGGAAAAGAAACAGTCCAAACCTTCCAACTTATTCACAAATATGAAGAGAAGAAAATAAGGAGTAAACACTCTTTGCTTCCCTCTGCCTCCCCTGGGACTGAAAGGGTATGTTCTGTTTGAACATTTATCCTTCTTTTTTAATACATACTGCCATATGAATCACTGACTTCACATGGGGTAGGATGAAGGACAAAAAGGCACAGAGGAGAGAGTAATGGTGTTCTGAACTCAGACCAGAAATCCTTCTGATCAGTTCCAAACATCAGTTTGGTTGATGGCTTGGAATGGCAGCGCATCCTTGAAAAAGCACGGGTGAGGTGGATGCAAAGCAGATTAGGTGTATCAGCCTCTGATCCACTTCCCAATGCCTGGCTAGCAAGCATGTCCTCTGCATCACTTCACACAGTCTGGTGGGGCTGGTGGGAGGACCTTCTGGTTGAGAATTTCTGCTGTATGAAGCAGCTTTCCCAAATCTGTCTTCTTAACTGACTCATCATTTTGAGCAAGAGTTCTTCCTTCCTTTTAATGACTCTCTTGTTTAATGACTATCTGTATTATTAACTTTTTTAGCAGTGCAAGAGTTTTTTGTTTTTAGTTATGGAAGTAAATCATAATACCCCTGGACAACAAAACCTAGTTGTTGTATGTGACATTTCAGTCATGCTCAAACTCTATCTGACTGAGTGGCTTTTAGCACTTACAACACTGTAAAAGGACCTGATGATGAAAGGACCAAGTCCAGCTTGGCACATTTGTTGTACCTACACAGCAGTGTCTGACTTGTAAAACCCAACTCTACCATATCTCACAAGGATGACTCAACAGGAGCCATGAAATTTTTCCAAGATCTTGGGAAAGAAAAGTTTGCTTTTATTCTTCCTTTTCATTCCTTGAAAAGCCCTCTAAATGTGAAAAATATTGGAACAAATATAAACAGCAAAAGTTCTCTTTCTGAATAAATAACAAGCCTTTATAACAAAACTTGTAACACAAATAACTGAAGCTTATATAATTGCTCCAGAAACCCTCAACCTATTTTGAAATATACATTTCAAATTCACGGAGTCTCAAAACTGGGTAAGTGGGTTAACACTGAGGTTGCTATTTCAATAATACACAAACCTAAGTGGAAATGGGAAAAAATGAGCAAGACACAGTTCAAACAAACTTCTATTTCCAAGGAGTATCTTATATTTAGGTATTTATAGGAATTTTCTTGGGGAGTTTTACGTATGACCTTCTTTGCAGAAAAGCAAATCTTTGACGTTTTAATTCACAAAATTTTTAGACAGTGGCTGTTCAGTCAGAGCATTTGCCATGCATTCAGAAACTGTTTTTAGATGGATGTAAGCATGTGGACTTGCTAGTTTGAGGTATAATGAATGAAACAGACTAGTCATGAGTAACAGAGACCCAAAAATCCAATCTACCACCTTGATTTGACTTTGTTCTTATGTGTGATTCATAGCTTTTCCAGCTAGGAAGTGACAACTTTGTTCCTTTCTCTCAACTTTTAAATTACACTTGCACAATGTTAAGTATGAAGTCACATCCTCACACTGTATGAAGTGTGGCAGTCAGTTCTTGGTAGTACAAGGACTTTAACAGAGACAATTTCAATTAAGATAGCATTGGAGGTCAGCCCTTCACATTTCCATTCCATTCCATTCCATTCCATTCCATTCCATTCCATTCCATTCCATTCCAACAGTCCATTCCTCCGTAGGGTAATATTGGTACATAGTCTATAAACTTTTCCTTCTATCATATTATACTTGAATCATACCGTAAACATACCAAGAGGAATATCTGTTCCCTACCATTAATTTCAGAAGAAATGCAAAAAAAATCTCATACACATTTCAGTAACTGTTATATGAAAAATGATCTGGAAATATACACCTTTATTTGCATGAAATTATATGTGCCATTTAAGAAAATGACGAATACATCATTCTCATCTCTGATTCAGACCCTATTTCTCCAAACACATGCTATAGTACTTGAAATATGTTTATCATTAAGTTTGCAAGACACTGATGAATAAATATTTCCATACCTATCTTCAGCCTGATTGTCATGAGACTCCAAAATCTCTTTAGACCACAAGTGAAACTGGAATGTTTTAAGGCAAATGGAAAAAAGGAGTGCGAAGAAAGCAAGTACATGACTCTTTCAAATTATGAAGAATAAACAAGTCTCAAAACAACCATGCTATTAGGGTTTGTTTTCTCTAGTTGAAGTGTAAGAAATTAAATGTCTAATGCAAACAAGCCATTCATTATTTGGTAATGACGGATAGAGCAGCTTTTGATTCTCAGACAGTGAAGTAAAGCCAGAA